GCTAGAAGTCTCTCTGGATGGACTTTTCGCGGCGTCAAGCGGCGATTTTGATGCGCTTTTGCAATCTTTAGCAGCTTTTTCTTTCGGTTATTAAATAATGAGAAAGGTTTAGAAAAAAAATTAGTTTTCTACCAGTCAGGAAATTGTGGTAATAAAATAGGTTCCATGACAATTGTGGAAATTATCTACTAGTCATGACTGATTATATATAAGTTGTTGAAATAGGAGAATATATAATGAAACAAAAGAATGCAGGATACGAATGCTACCCCTCTAATACAGTGTGACCTTACACAGCGATACCCCTTTATTAACTGTAGTTGCCTGAAGCAAACCTCCAGGATGTAGACATTACTACTAACCATTGGGTCAAACTTAAACTACACTTGTTAATTCAACGTCAACTTATCAACCTTTTGCTCGTCAGTAGCTTTGTTTGTAGTTTCAGAACTAGGACAATTTCGTGGTAGCTATATGTAAGTGGATCACTGTGCTAACATACTTCCTTTCAAAATGTACTCAACACGTGAGTGTGTAGATTTTCGAGTCAAACTCGTACCCAAAATGCACCCATTTTGACGCCTCTTGACGCCAGAGAAAGCCAAGAGGTCGGCGATCGCCAGCGTCCGCCATACCTCTCATCGTCAGCTATGGATGGAGCCGAACACCGCCGCTGTTGAATACCAACATCGTAGATGACACTAGCGAGAGGCTTAAGCGGATGAAAACATTGCTGGAGCTAGCATATGAGTGAAGTCAGACCATTTGAATATCTAAGTAAGTGACAAGAGACAAGAAGCCGAGATCTAAAAACATGCTTCTGAACTTGACGGAATTGTTCTGTTAGGTTTTTCTTTGAGCTGATTAAGGGTACACTTATTGTTTCATATCATAGATTCCAACAAAGAGTTTGGACTTGAAAATCACGCAGAAGTAACTATGGAACATTGTATTGTATGCTCTTTATCTATTGGTCATTTCGTCGGGAAAGTATTCATCTGAGGTTTTTGTGGAAATTAGTAACTCTTGGAGGAAAGAAATTTGTATCTGATTGTACTACCTCTTTGCTTTTTATTATCATCAACCTTGCGAATTTCGCTGTTACTTTATTCAATGATAAAAGCAGTAGTGAGCAACTGCAATAAATACTGAAAGGAAAGTTGATGAGAAAAATATTTATGAGAGTTGATTCATCACGAAGATACAACTCACCACTAGATCGTTCTTTATCAGTGCGTTTACAGCAATGCCACTGGAAAAGCAGCTCGAAAAACTTTCTGAAATATCTTTATTTTTGAGTCTCCCCTTCACTTTGAAAAAAGCAAATTAGGCATTCACACAACGAAATGTAGTATATTCAGAAACTAGAGCTTACTCAATACACCTCTCTCTGCCTCTGCGGACGATAACTCGTCTCGACTTGAGTAGAAATTCATTTGAAAAGTTTGAAGAGGTATAGCTTAATCTTGATCAAATGTGCTTTCCTCATTTGATTTTTTAACCAAATTTAGATTTGTAATCTCACTCGCAACCTGCCAACTCTTGTGCATCTATCCTTGAATGAGAATCGTTTCACGCATCTTCCACCATGTATCCAATATGTAGCTGTGAGGACGCTGGAACTTCGTAAAAATTATGTAAGCGTTGGCTTCACACCTTTCCTTCATTTCAGACAATTGACGATATGTTGATTATAGATTGCATACATAAATGGTACATTTCACCGTTATACTAGGAATATTGATCTTTCGAGGAATGCTCTACAGTCAGGTTCAGGCTTACATGGGGACCTACTTCGCTTAAGTGAGTAGTTGTTTCAACAATATTAGATGTCTAAAAATGTCATTTTGAAGAGAATTTGCTATGATTGAACAAGTTTTCTATTTCAATTTTCAGACCTTTCATGCAATCCTCTTGTGGATGCTGTTTTTCCTCATTTCAAAATTCTGGAGCAACTCGACTTGTCCGGCACTAAATTTTTATTATCACCTGACCTGAACGCATCAAAATTGGTTGAGTTGTATATGGATCGGTCCGCTGTGGAAGTGGTGGATTTTACTCGATGGAATATTCCGAGTTTGCAGAGGTCGGCATTATCTCATGGACATCGTACAATATGCACACGTTTATGTTATTTTCTATCTTTTTTTCAAGCTTTCTTTTTAAGGTTATCCATGAACGATTCTTTTTTATTGAAATTTATCAATGGTCGCCTCCCTAGATCTACGAAAGAATTGGCGATAACGAATACGCAACTTACTGCCTTCCCTCAATCATTTTTTGACAAGTATAAATTCTTTTGTCTCTAGGACTTATTACAGTCTTGAGTACATAGTTTGCATTAAAATTTCAGGTCTTCATTGCGGGCATTGGACTTGACTGGGACCAATTTCGACTGCGATCCATGTGTTTTCCAATGGTCTCTGCCTATAACCATTTTAATCAGAAATCAGACTCAATGCCCAACTATGTACGTTTATCTCATATCAATACTCATTTGAGTTTCGCTAACTTTACTCCATTCTTTCAACTATCATACCGTCTTCAAGCGCTCACCTCAACAACTGCACCCTGGGTATATCGCAACATGATTTCGAGATAGTTCGAGCCGAGTATGGCCATTCACCGATTATAACTTGTATTGCTTACGGATCGCCACACCCAGCTATTGAGTGGTCGGTGCTTTTAAGATTGGGTAAAGTTGGATTTTGAAAGTTTGTTCAGGTGGCTATACCGTCCTGCAACATATTTGGGTACATTCGATCCATTAACAGCAGCACAACCTTTCTCAACCAATAGCTGGTAGCTCGCTCTCGCCAAAGAAAAACCACCGCATACCTTAATGAAGAGTTTCAGTTGTACTGTGCTTAACGGAGGTGCACTTTTGCTCCACGATGTCAATCGTTCTTTCATTGAACGTTATGTATGTGTCGCTCGGCAGCATTCACAGTCGGTTAACAGAATTTTCCACTTTAGGTAAGTTTTTTCTTCTATTTTGAAGCTTACTCAATTAATTTCATTCTTCTCCGAGAAATTACCGAAACGACGTAGTGTCCAAAAAGGGTTTTTTAAATTACCTTCCAAATTGTAACTTCGTAATGTAGCTTCTCTTTTTTCAAACTTTCATATGCCAATGAAACCATGCGGTGCAGGTGTTTCAATCGCGGTTTAACTTCATTATCGTATACTTGATGCTGTCCACCCAAGTCATATTTCGTCCACTCAGTACCATCTCATGTCATCTATGCTAATCTTTCTTAAGACTTGATTACACGAGCTGGTACTCCCTCGACTTGTTCAACAGCGTGTTTTGGGGTGGGATAGCGACAGCAGTTCTTGTTTGTTCGTTCTCTTTCTTACTTAACATCACGTGGATACTTACAAGAAAGAGTATTCTATGGTGGATACAACGGTTAGTTCTATCTTTCTACATTCTGACCAATTCAAACTTCTTTATATTGTATCTGCATAGAGCGGAACGGCTGTCCCGAGTTCGAAAGATGGTTGAAGCTATGGAGAAGTACCGTGTGCGACAAATGGAAGGTTTGCACGATGTATATACCAAAAAACTCCAGTTAGTCCGGGAGAACTATCATGCACAGGCTCGTGAAATAAGTTACTTAATTTGACTTTTCTTTTCAATTTTACTTCCAGGTGGAGGCGCTAAGACTGTCCTACAGCTCACAAGCCGAGAGATTCCGTGGCTATCGTGTTGCTCAAATGGAACAGATGTCTTCTCATTTGGAAAATATTCGAGAGAACTACAATCAACAAATGCAGAGAGTAAGAGAATATGGTTCGAGACGCGCTGAACAGCTCTGGGAAAGTTATGAACGACAAGTGGGTGTTTTTGCTCTAGAAAAACTTATTAGTATTTTTTTTCAGTAGCTAGGAATAATATGTCGCTTTATGTGAAAAACTCATCTGGGCCGCTTGTTTCACAAGACCAACGCATTCTCATTAGATGCTTATAATTTTAGGTGAACAGGATGAAGGCGTTCAACTTGCAACATCGCTTGAAGATGATGAGGCAGTATAAAGTGAAGCAGAGATACCTGAATAAATTGCTGGAGTCGTTCCAAGACTCCACTGCTAGTCCGGACACTCTTCGAAAACACGTAGGTTT